GGAATGTTAATCAGTTCTTTGGAATCGAGTCTTTATCAATCCTTTTAAGGCGGTTAGAACTCGATCCTTAAATCACATGAAAACACTTAGTCCTTGATCAAATTGATTTAACTAAAGGGGGTCTTTGCTTTGAGTTCCATAAGGGTGGTCCCTAAAAAATTATGATCGGTAATCTCAGTAATATACAATTGTATATTAAATACTGAGATTATAATTTTTTAGGCCAAATTTAAGTTCCAGGTTTTCACTCTCCGAGTCCAGGACGGTCCAAGGATCAGATCGCCCTTCAAAATTTTTTGGGTCCAAAATCATTTGGGGATTGCTTTGATTCGATAATATATTTGACTTTATCTTGATCAGAATAGATTTTCCATAAAATTTTGTCAACTTTTTACTGGTTTCTGCTAGATACTTGGGCCTATTGATAGTAATTTGAAAACGGTGATAATTTGATTACTTAATTTTTTTTTTTTTTTTTTTTTAAGATGTAAAAAAAAATTATAATCTATCGTTATCGTCCCTTTTTTTCACTAAAAGACAAAAAACGGGCGTATGGCTGAGTGTATGGGCCTTACTAATTTTAGCTATTTAATTTGCACTGCCGAACGTATCACTGTACATACATGGAAAACATTGCGTACTGGGATTTAATTATACTCTGCGTACTACAAACACTTCCCCAAAAGGGAATTAGCAACAAAACGAAACACGTAAATCTTAAGTACTTTACGTACGTTCATGGTTAGCAATAAGATTAAAGGTGGCTTTTATTATTATTAAAGAAAAAAAACAATAGGCGTTAAATATAAAATTGTTACAGACACTTTTCATTAGTGCATTAGTGCATCAGATTTTGTTTTCGCGTCTCGGATCTACGTGCCGGGTTGATTAAACATTTGAATTATAATCATTTGTGGTGTTAATCAACTGTTTTCCTTTTTTAAAATTAACTCTAATATCCACAGATCGTTGTTGAACATGGAATTCGATAGTGTGGGGATTGGATGCGAATCAGAGGCGTAATGGCGGCCGAATAAATTAACGGAGTTCTAAAAATAATTCCGATATCTGGCTCCAAACAAGTTTAGCATGCATCATGTGTCAAAACTGCCAAAACTGCTAGGGTACATATTGTCAATGAGTAGTTTGCAGGGTTGTCAATGGATATTATCCATGAAAAAAAAATTGCCAATGGAAAAACTTTACCTATGGAATTAAAGGAAAAGGACCATACACTTAATCAATCCCATTTACTCTAGATAAAATCATTCAACTTAATCCATCTCATTTACTCTAGATAAAATCATTCAACTTAACCAATCCCATTTACTCTAAATCAATCCCATTTACTCTAGATAAAATCATTCAACTTAATCAAGTTTGAGTGAAATCATCAAAACATCCATTTATTTTAATTCTGTAGATTCGGAAATTTTTTTTTTCAATGAGTAAGAATTTCTTGTTAATCGTCTAGTCAAAATTGATAAATTTTTCTATTAACTTTAGATAGTCGTCAAAATGGCATTATTTTATTGGTCTCAATTGACTCTATTCATAAATGCTTCCAATTGAAATAATGGAACAATGTTAATGGAGTTGTTCTCCGCTTATCTCAATTGAAATCCCTGCTGGCTAAGATTTTCGTGACACATTAATTAAACTACCCAACATACGATACCTCATAAACGAATAGCAATAGCGATAGGCAATAATTTGGTGTAATGTAACACGACCATAGTTTTACTGTAAGGTAAATATATACCCATTTAATGATAAATTCGGTACGTACCTATCTTTGTGGCATTCAAAAAAGTCAACCTGAGTCGCATTGTTATGAACATCTTTTCGAATACCGGTTAACTAATATTTTTCCTTCACTGAGTGGATCTGTGTACTTTATTTGCTAATCTTTTGACTGACTCAGATGTGAAATTTATCACGTGTATATAAAAGTAATCATGAGAAGTGTTGTTTATAGCAATAATGCGCAACAAGTTTATTTTAATCGTAAATTTCCAATTTAAATGTTTGTATGCTTGTTGTACAGTAAGGAAAAAAGTACTCGCGGGCTTCATATAATTTCATAATTTCATATAATTACAAAATGATACATTATCTTTGTAACCATTTAGGGTAAACATGAATTCCTGATTTTCGATTGTGTCAGCAGTTGCAATGAGTATACAAAAAATTTTTTGACACTTACAATTCGCCGTTATAATACCGTTGAAAAATTTGCTTACATTTGCTTACATAATAACTACAAACAATGTGTGAAATAGGTATAAAAAACAATGTTTATTTTTCGAATACTGTACTGTAGAAAATTTGTCAGATTTCAAATGTTAAGCCCCATTTGTACGATCGGATGATTTGTATTGCATTTGTTCTGCATGCGCCGTTGTATGCATGATGCAAATTTGGCAATATGGGAGGTTTTGCGACCGGCCGAATATGGCAATTGTCTAAATATTATGGCTTCTATACGTGATTATATTTTCTAAATATTCAGTCTTTGTTCACTGATAATTGTATATAAAAAAAAAAAAAAAAAAAGATAAATACCTCCATTCTGTGGTGCATCTTTTTTTACTTTAGTTCTCAACTCGAACCCGTCCTTAAACATCAAATCCAAATCGATAATTTATAATTTATCAAATCCGATAATTTATAATAATTTATGAAAATGAAACAAGAAAACTCACCCTCAAATATGAATTCGTCTTCACGTTCTTGTATATTTATCGATGCTAGCAATCCAAAATCTCCGAATCAAATTGTGAATCTTAACTCACAACCTTTTATCAAGCCAGCATTCCCACCGCTGGTTAACGTTCGTGAATTAATGACCAAACAATCTTCTGGACGTGTGTCAGTTCGCGGTCCAAACGCCTTCATCATTTACCGCAAAGTCTTTTTTGAAACTGCTCGGGACGATGGCTACCAATTACCTATGACTATTGTTTCGGCAATGGCTTCTCAATCATGGGAACAAGAACCTGAAATTGTTAAAGAATCGTATAGAGAATTGGCTAAAGAAGCCAATAAAATTCGTAATGAAATTTCACCCAAATCTCCTCGACGTAAAAAAAGAGAACAATGGAATATTATTTCATTTCAACCAAATAAACCTCATAAACCTTCAAAATCTAGAAAATCGTCAAGATCAGAATCAGAATCCAGTCCAGTTATTTCAGAATCAGAATCTAGTCCAGTTATTTCAAAAATGTCTTTTGACACTACATATACCAAGTCTCCTGACTTAGTCGACAATAACTTCTCCAACCTTGACTCTAAATTCGAAATTAAAACCGATGATTTTCCAACAAATGATTATAACGCATTTGTCGACTCATTACAACAATTAAAGGACTATGAATATACTACTATCAAATACAATGACGGCGATTCTACTGATACAGATCAAAGTACACATACCGACTCACCTTTGCGTTTAGCTTCTTGGCCAGAATCAAATGACATGTTAATAACAGCCACCGATTCAGTCATATTTTTCAATAACGAATCAATTTTAGATTCACCATTAACTTCGCTTGATGATGGGCTTGGGATTTCAGACTATTCGGACTTTGCCGCGAATGAATACATACTCATGAATCCGGAAAATTCTTCTTATTTGTTGGATTTGATTCCATTTATGGATAATCCAGGAATTACATTTTCGTCGGACGGGTTGAGCTTTTCATGATTCCTTTAAATCATAACCACTTCCGTTTCCACCTAATATATATATATATATATTCGCATATTTGTCATATTAATTTTCTCATATCTTATCTCTTCTATCATTAAACATTGCATATTCAATTAGTTTCTTTGAATCATTATTCAAGGATATTAACATACGTATGTACTACATATTTATGACACTTTTATGGAAGGAGCATATAGCATATACGAATTTAGAAGGACTTGATTATAAAATAGTGTATATCTTTTAAGACTACCTAAGATGTTTTACAGATCGACAAGATTATGCATAGATTATGTATTTATATAGTTTTATGAATTTTTATAGTTTAAACTCGCTATTTTATTATGAACTTAAAATTTTTATGCCACAAATTTGTTATTTTTAGTTTATAAATACTCTGTACTGTATATATTTTCATTACATTTAACACATTTTACCTATATAAATAGTTATATAAATATATGTATTTCAATAGATTATTAAAAATTCGATATTCATAATCCAAAAAAAAAATTTAATAATTGAGGCATAGTGTTAAGAAATGTTTGTTTATTAAATGAAAACAAAAAATTGTGAATAACAATTTTTATTATTATTCTATTTTGTGTAAAAAATAGAGTATACATACATTCACAATTTCATACATTCACAATTTTTTATATTAATTACCAAAAATGGATTCAAGTAAATATCTTGTTAACATTTTTGCCGGTAAGCTTTTTATTTAAAGACAAACTTCCATTTCACATATGTTTCGATTATATGGATTATATATATATATATATATATATATATATATTTGAATTTTTGATAAAAAATATTAATTTTTTATCAGTTATATTGTACATATATTTATATATTTATATACTGTAAGCTCATTACAAATAAGAAAGCAATAAATATACTGAAATTAAGCAATTTAAGTAAAAAAAATAAAAGTTAGATTTATTTATAGTAATTGTTATGGATTTATTTTACAATTATGACTTAACGTCTATTTAAAAAATAATTTTTTTTGTTCGTGGGTATGCAGTTAATTTTATTGAAAATGTTGTAAGCTCTCAAACTTATATAATAAACGGTTTTGAAATTTTTAAATGATATCATATAACATAGTGTTATGAATATAACTTTCCTTAATAATAATAATAATAATAATCATAATAATAATAATTATAATAATAATAATTATAGAGTGTTGCTAACTTGCCCCCCTGGTGACGTTAACCACCCTATGATTTACCAATCAGATTGCAGGATCTTGTGTAA